GCAGTTTATGATCTTTATGATATGCACATGGGTCGACGGAGCATCCCCATTCTGGGTATGGAACAATGTCGGTCATGATGGAGTGGAAGAACTTGCTGGGCAGTTTTCCCCAAAAGGCACAGATCTTCCCATCGAGCGAGATTGGAGTGCGCAAGGTCGGCCCTCAAAATCGGGCATGAGGTGATTGGAGAGTGATTGCGGGCTGCGGCAAATGCCAGAAGTTTATAGATGACAGAACTGGGTAAAAATAAGTAAGAGCACCTCTTTCCTGGCAGACGCGTACGTAGGAGGACCCTGCGTACGATTGGCGACAGCGAGGCCTTGTACTATTTAAGATGATTTCACAGACTGCCGATTCGGGCCAAGAGCAAGGACGCAAAACCAGTTCCGACTCGGATATGCAGGGACACTTTGAATACCATGAAAACCAAGTCTCCTCTCGAGATTCTTCATCCACGACAGCAGCCATGGACGACCCGCAGCCTGCTCTACCGTCCACGTCCACTGCACCGTACGTTGGACACCGACATATACCGCATTATGCTTACGCTTCAGTTTTACAGCCAAATTCGTTCTCGGATAACGGTCGTTTGTGCAGAGGTCTGATCTTGCCACTCTTTCCCCGTTTACAGCTCATTTTTGTTTTGACAGTGCAAGCGTCTTAAGCTCAAGTGCGACAGACGCACGCCGTGTGGTAGCTGTACAAAACGTGATACTGTGTCGCGTTGTATCTATTCACCAGCGGCCGCTGAAAAGGTCGACCTACATTCTATCAATAATCGTCTTATACAGGTTGAAACGCTTCTTTCTATGATAACCTCTGGCAAGACTCCACCGCCATTCCAGTCGTCATATCCACTTGCCCAGGTCCCTATAGGATCTTCACAATCTGGGACAGCCCGACCAAGCCATGTTGCCTCTAACACTGCCTCACCTATATCTATTCGCATGCATGACCTCGTAAATATATGGCTGGTCCATTGTCAGCTCGACATTTTTACGCCTGGTAACCATGCTTCCCTCAGATCTCCTCCGCAGGACGGTCCTTTCATCAAGCTCGAGCAGTCACCCGTCGAGCTTTTGCAACTCTTTGGCTCTGACCCATACCACAAAGATACGATCCTCATAGACCAAAGTTCAGCCAACCGAAATGACGCTCCCACTGCTCGACGAACTCTACCTCCTCCCCAACTATATAGTACACAAGGCCAGAAGGAATCCTCATATTTTCCTCAGGATCCATTCCCCTCCGACTCCCAGGGTAAACTTTCCTCTGCTTCCCCGTCAGGACAGCTTTTCGTGGCACCCGCGATATTTGCCTATCTCCCTCATCCATCTGTACGTATACGACTCCTAGATGGTGCCCATTCAGCGATCCCATATCTTTCTCTCCTTATTAATTGGACAAGAGTTGCTGAGCTTGCTGATACAGGTGTCGCCGCTGCCCGAGCAGAGGAGGACCGTCAGGCATCTTCAGCGAATGCTGTCTTTGACGCCCAAACAGCTTCCCACTCTCCGTCGCCATTGCCCCTGGCTTCATCGAGTTCCGCACCCAGCCTCCCTCTATTTGCTTGCTTGTGCTATCTGCTTGCTCTTGGGGCAGTGGAGTCTCCCGATGACACATCAGTCGATCATTCCTTCTTATATGCCCTGGCCGGTCAGGCGATTGGTGTCTGGGAGGAGTACAGAAGTTTTTCAGATGCGAAAGAGGAAGAGAACTATCTGGACAGCGTTGACGATTCAGTAGACGCGATTAAGGCGAAGCAAGCAGAGGAGGAGAAAGACGACTTGGATCATGTGGTGGCTTTACTTCTTCAAGTCAAGTATCTCCTACACACCGGGTCTGCGACGTCGGTGAAAGCCCTGTCGGAGGCCATTTTTCCTCTGGTATAGATATTTTTGAGCCTTCCTGATGGGACCTTACTTATTTTTTCCCTCCAGATCGGCAAGCTGGTCAACGCCGCACGTGGAGTTGGACTTGCACGTGATCCAGAGTTAGAAACAGGAGTACGAAGGAATACCAAGGCTGAAGAGAGGCGAAGGATGATATGGTGGGATATTATGTTCTACGACATGTGAGTTGCCCATGGTTTGTCAGATTCTGTATGTTTACGTAGGATTCATAGTTTTACTTCCGATGTTCTGGACCAAACACCTCTCATAACTTCGTATTCATACAACACCAGATTGCCCACTATTGCGCATGCTCCTTCGTGCCCGCCAAATCCTTGTAAGCAATCCGACGTAAATGTTGGTGGAAATGATGAAGGTGACCCGTCTACTGGACACGGAGTTGAAGACGAGCGACGCCCATTGTTTACCAAAGCTAGTTGTCCCACTAAATCACGGATACCTTCGCGTCTTATTACTTCTCCGAAAACAAAGACAAAGGCCAAGGCTTGCTCTCCTATTCTGGACAATGCAGAAACTGGGTTCTTTGGTGTTCGATGCCGGTATGTTCTCCATCTCGATCTCTGCCACTCTCCCTTGATATCTTGACCTCCACAGCCTTACCCGCTTGACCCAAAGTATAAAAACTCGCCTCGCTCACCCCGACTGTGATTGCTGTACCTGTGAGAGCAGTTACACCCTCGATCAAGCTGCAAAACTTGAAGCTGAGATCCGAGCCTGGGTTTTGGACCTCCCTTCCTCCCTCCGTCTCGATCCTCCCTCTACCCCGGAAACAAAATGCCCGAAACATACAGCTATCGCCGCGGAACTCGCTCTCTTCGCGAATCGTATAATCATTTCTGCATATGTGCCTCTCATGCGGCCTCCACAGGATGGCGCTGCCTCATCGAGCTCGAGTGTATATTCTGCTGCACACCCGTGGAACCCTGCAAGCCGGGCAACACTTGATGCCGCGCAGGGTGTTGTGCGTGCCGCAAGTGTGCTTTATCGTCTTCCCAGGAATGGAATGTCGTTCATGTGTGATTTATATCCCTTACAGAAGGCGGTGGCTGATGCGTTGGTGATCTGTGCTCATTCTGGGTTCGCGTCAACCAAGCCTGGGCGCATTGTGGTGTTAGTTGATGAAGTTAATATTGCACTGGAGGTACTAGACGTGATTGGTGCCCCAGAGGGCAAGATGTCGCGCCTTCTTGCATCGATGAAGAGGAGGATCGAGTCGGGTGATGTGTGTAGAAAGGGCGAGGAAAGCACACTCAAAAGGAAGCGTACTGCTCTTCAGGCGTCGCAGCCTATCGAACGAGTTAAGGTAAATGGACATATGGAGACAACACCGATGGCTGTCGATTCGGACAGGAAGGCAAACGATAGTATGTCATCGGTATCCCAGCAATCCCATCGACCTGTGATCCCGCCTTCATCGCAGAGGCAGAAGTCCGTGCCTCGTAGCAATAAAGGCAATGACAGAAAGCACTCGAAAAAATCGTTGTATCCTGTTCTTGGTTACCGCGATCGAGAAAAAGAAAGTGCGCACTGGTGGTTGATGAAAAAAGTCAATGTGGCCAAGATTGAGGGACCCATATCCGAGGAGTTGCCTGTGGAGGAGATGCATCCCAACAACTTCCAGTCTCAGCAACTATCTCCTATCCAACATCCTATTACTAGTGGTCAGCCCATCGTGGACAATGAGTATCGTTCTAGATCGTCATCTGTCTCACACACATCTAGACTGCAGACCAGCGAGTGTCCTCCACACTATACAGAAGAGCAGGACGAGGATATCCACGCAAGTCAGCGTCGTCGATTCAGCATTAATGACGCCAGCCAGCATCAACACCATCAACTTCAGCAAGTCCAACAACCCTTCATGTCCTCTCCGTACATTCAGAATCAGCAATCGTCCCGTATTGGATCGTATGAAGCCCCCTCCAGTTTTGATCAATCCGGCGGGTCTTTTGATCAGGGCTCGACGAGTAGTGATAGCGTCTATGGCGGTCCACCGAGTCCGTACGCCAACTCAAGCAGTGGACACTTATCTGCAGCCAGCTCGCCATATGGCTCAGCAACTGGGCACCCACAGACACCCGTAATATATCCGTCCAGAAATTCCCATCATCCCAGCCCACCAGACTTTGTACAGCAGTCAGCTGTCCCCAGTCCACAGACGTACTATCATATGTCCTCTGGATACGAACCTTACGAGGTACATGCGGTACAACAGCAACAAGTATCCAAGATGGACAGCCCGATACCTGAGCAGAACCGGATTCCTACTCCTCCTGGCGAAGCAATGATATCTCGGGTATCGCAAGCTCTCCCGATCTACGAAAAGACTGTTTACGACGTCAAGACGCCCGTAGAACTTGTCCAGCAGCAGCATCAGATACACCACTATCAAGTCTCAAGTGGGCGGGGCACACCCGTCGACCATCTACCAACGAATTCGTCGACACCTCAATCTTGGACGGCAAGTCAGTATATTCATTCACAACAGCCGTTTGCCGAACATCAAGACTCGCAATATTGGTCTACAGGCCAAATGTATTATTCATGAAACCCCTTCGAAATTCAGCCACAACACCACACCACACCCATCCTACCTCCCACCTAGCCACGATCGAAGTATCCGCCACTCATTAATTCATGCCTCGTTATGCTGTGCCGCTCGATTATGTTTTCACTGTCTCATGTTTCATCTACCTGCCTCGTATCTATCAAACTTCTGTATCCACCAGCGTTGTCATCAATGACCGTTACGATCATATCGCCTTACCCCCTGGCCCTCAAGGTAGTGGGACTTTTATACCTGATTTATTGAGCATTCCCTGCATCTTATGGTAAGTTCCCTTCAGGTATATCTGCCTAGCACTAGTTTCTGATCCAATGTTTTATAGTTTGTTGATGATTTTCTCTGCCAGTCATTCGTTACTATGGTTAGATGCTCTTTGGCTATTGGATATATACAGACTATTCAGTTCTACTGTGGACATTCTATCGCCTGTTGTACAACGTATCTAATGATTTTCTCGGACCATTTTGAACACTTATATTGGTATCCAATTAAACAATAAAAATTTCGATCAACCTAACACGGGCACATGGTGTAGTTGGTTATCACGCCGCTTAGCACCATATTAAGGTTTCTGCGGGCGGTGCCCGGTTCAATTCCGGGTGTGTCCAATTTTTGTGGCGTCGAGTCTCACTGGATGAGAATGACGTAATGTTCTCAACACTTGAGGTCAACTACCATGGAGTCCCTTCCCATCGATTTTTCGCATCCTGCTGTACAAGACTACCTTGCTCTCGTCCGCCTTCAAGTTCTTACCCCAATTTCTCTACTAGTGAATATCGCTATCTTCGTCGTTTGCATCGTCGTTGCCACCCCCTCAATTGCTGAAGTGGCTGATGGCCATCCTACTTCAATTTCCCCTCATCCACCTACAATCGCTCTCTATGTATCCGTTATCTTTCTTGGTCAATTAGGCTATTGCCTTCTCCTTGTTCTCGCCAATAAGCCGGAGACGAAACAGACGTTGACGAAAGCAGTCGGTGTATCACTTGTCTTAGCTAATTGGGTGATGGCGTTTTGGGCAATTGCATGGGTTTTTCGATGGTTTCTAGTCGCGACAATACTTCAGGGTGTTCTTCTGCTCTTATTATTTTACTCCAATCTCGCACTCTTGGTATATCATCCTCCGACGTCAGCACGGCCACTGGACACAGCTTTAATTCATGCGCCACTCCGTTTCTTCCTTGCTTTACCTCTTGCTATTCTTTTCCCATACTCTCTATTGTATGTCCCCTTTGTCCAAAAAAATTGATCTTGACATTCTTCATAGCGTCACTCTTGGATTGACCTTTGATCCCACCCCGCCTGGTTCACCACGGTATTACTCTGCATGGCATGCGTGGTCTGGGTTTGCAGTTGTGATGTCAACCAATTTGTTTGCCCTCGTAATCATTGCTATCCGAAGGGATCTCGTGTGGTGTATCGCCGCGACCTGGCTATGCGTGAGCATTTGGCTGGAAACCCCCAAACCTGCCCCAGTCTATGTACGTTCTTTCATTGCACGATATGCATCACAATAGCCCTGATTCAATTTACGTGTACAGATAACAGTAATTACGTTCACTGCGGTCCATCCTCTGGTGTTCTTCCTTTCGCATGCATATGATTTCTTCTATGGCCGTCGCCGCCGGGGGGGTGTGGCGCTTCCGCCGGGAGACGATGCGCTACATCGCGAGGAGGCCGAAAGGTTAAGGCATGGTACGCTCAGGGAAGTCGATGAGGAGGCGGTTTGGGGTGGGAGGTAGTCTGTTTGGTCTTCGGTGGAGCCTTCGTCAGCGATCTAATTTTACGTTAAAGGGTACAAAATTGACATCTGAGTCTCAGAGTTGTGCCTTGAGGCATGAAATCTGAAAAGGAAGTGCCCTATAGCCCTGACCTTTCAGAGTATCATTACATCCCCGGTCCGAATCGATGCATTCTTTACACACACTACTTAGTACACGATTTCTTGGCGCTCATATGAGCCTTCGGACGTTTATCTACGAAATAAGCATCGGTCATTCCAAATTCGTTAGTTAAAACTGTGATTGAGGTAATAATTGACCGGCCAACGTGTTGGTCTCCCGACATCCAGGAACAATTAAGGGCTGAGGCAATTAAACATAGGATTCTTGATGCCTATGAAGCACGTCCTGGAACAAGGGCCTAATTTCTGCATGGTCGATCTCGGATATAGTGACAATTTTGAACAACGCGCGGTCATAAGATAACATGTGTAAAACACGATGAACAACGTCACAATGAGCACTATCCACTATAATCAAAGTTCGTCATCACCCTTGTTCTCAAAGACAGGGAAGTACTGTTACGTATACCTTGAGTCCCCACTACTTGGCACGATATTTGAGTTCAAGAAATCACGGTCATAAGATCCGCCTCAGATAAAGGCAGAGTACCAGGTGAGTACATAGGCTTTCAGAAAAGCATGATTTCGAGGAAGAACGACATCGTAATCTATGATGTGGAAGGCTAGAAGTAGGTCAAGCAAGCACGCACGACCCTAATCTTGGTTGCAGCCAGCATCTATGCTTATTTCAAGTCGATTAGAACTTGGAGACTGGGCGTCTAAAAGAGCTGGTCAACCTGAAAGATTGCACTTACATGAAGTCACATTCAAAGACACAGAGATGCAAGATATCCAAGTGACGGGCAAGGATTGGCTAAACGCTCGACTCGCGGTCTTGTAAACGCCCTGAGATATTTGTACAATATTTATTTAGGACCAAGTGCAACGGCCAGCACTATTATCTGATGTCCTGATGTCCTTTACGATGAAGCAACGATGGCCGAGAGGATGAAGCTTGCTAGAAACTCAAACATGTGTATTGTCGGAGTCGGTAGCATGACGGAAAGTTCCGATTGAACTAAATATCTATCCTTGACAGTGAGCCACACCGTACAAAATCGACTCTGAAGCTCATCTATGTCCCCCATGGACGTTGTTGACCCAACTCTTGAACTGAAAGGCCTCTTCGGAGAAAGAAAAACACACCTAACTCATAACAATTCATCTAGCGAGTCCGTCAGGCTGGATTCACTCGGTCCTGTGACTTGTTTTGAAAGTGGGATTGAGTAACATCAAGTAAACCGTAGTCCTGTGGGCAACTTCACAACGTTTCCAAGATAGCTGCATTATGTAAATGACTGATTCTGGAGAAAGGCGACGACCGTGACAATCTTTGCCGGTTACAAGTACTTATCTCAACATCAGCTGTTCAGTCAGATCGTGATGTATCAAAATCCTCTCTGCTGTTAGATTCGGTTGAAATCGGACCTAAAGCTTATGAACTGCAGATTATTTCGTGTAGGCTGTGGAAATATTCAGATACAGACCCTAATTTTCCTCAAATCTAGTGATGGTACGTTACCACTTGATTTGAAAAGGACATGACTGGACAGACTTTCCCTGAACGAGGGAGCACTGACTTGTGTTATACTACCTTAGATTATGAACAACAATGGACTTGATGCGTTACAAACGTTGATTTAGGTCACATACTTTGGTGGTCATACTGTGGTTCATTGTCTATCGCCGACATTGATCAGTCCGACCATATTGGTAGCCGAGAGCTTCCAGTTACATCTGGCTGATGTTCTCAATTGCTGTTGCCCTACCCTTTGTCTCTTCGTCCTTTTGGGAGCGAATTAGTTTAGTACGTCTATATTACTCTTACCCTAGTGTCTTTTCAATGACGAGGACGACTTGTGGGACTAATGAATTATCAATCGATTGAGCAGAGGCAGATCGTATTTTGCCTTTAGAGGCTTTCACAAAAACATTTTGCCATCAGCACGTCCTCTCATCACGGGGATATGTAAGGTGTAAATATACTAAAGGAAAAATGAAGCTGGTCAGATTCAATCTGGTAAGTTGATACACCCCGCGCCTGGACACCGTTTCGATTACATGAAGATTCGTGCTCACCCATATTTCTTGAGCCCCTGCGGGTATGCTTCTTTCGGCGTAGGGCTCTATAGTTCCTTACCTTCTACAGTAACATGTACAACGAGTTCCATGACATCGAGAAGCGCGGCAAGGGTAAGTCCTTCATTTCGGCTTTTACTCCACACCTCGTCTCACAGTCTATCCAGATCTCAATTCAATTCCTATCGGAAAGGACGTCCCTTCTGAACGGCTGAAACCTTGTAGCAGCGGTGATTGGGACGTCTCACTTCCAGTCATTGGCCCCAGTGAGTATATCGATGTTAATCACACCTGGATCAATCCTCATGGGCATTGAGGAACCATTTGGGGGAATCTATGACTGTCTTATGCTTCTGCATCTTTTATTCTGACAATATCTCAGCCCGTGTCTGTATTTTGTCATATCTGTTGTGTACTTGCTATTATTGTGTTCTTTCGGATGGATTACTTTGTAGAGAATATTTTTCCATTATCTCCACAGGTTTTACTTAATCGAATGCTACGGAATATTTTCCTGAACAATTCTGTCGTTCGGGATACTACAATCTTGTAAAAAGGCGACGGAAATTGTATCGAGGGACTTGTAGACCCGAAACGGAAACTTCAAAAGATCACCCTAATCCGATTGTCTATTTATCCTTAACTTGAGATGATTCGAAGTCGTTAAAGGCACACGAAGGACTTTTCCGTTGCTTCTCCGCAGAGGTTGCTCAACCAGCAATTGTTCCTCGCGTTGATCATAGATAATTGATTCTGCAACGGCTCAAAGAAGGTAAATTTTGCTTTCAATCAAAGATATCTAATATCGCTCGGTCAGACCATTGAAACAGTCCTTGCATCGAGATACGGTAACTTCTAGATATGGCATAAGGCCCCTTCCGTGTAACTAACTGGAGGATCTAATGACAAGCCGAACAACTGAACTGGGGGCGACACTTACCTACGACACGTATAACTGAGCATCCAGGAACTCGCTGCAGAACAAATGTAAAAAAGGTATTTAATCGCAAGATGTCGCTGGCTCTGGAGGACAGAAATGAAAGTTAACTAGTGATCCGCCGCACCGTGCTTGATACCTCGTTGTTCCTTCATCGACCCTCGTTCGAAGATAGATCTCGCAAGCTTTGAAATTGCGGACATGTTGGTTGGTTCCTCACATTCAGCGAGAAATTACAAGTCAGTTGACATTGAAATATACTGATATGCGTATGCAGTACTGCTACTTGTACAAGGGATGCAATGCATGCCATTTATGCAACGAGTTGAGTCTCTTTATCATCAAAAAACAAAGATACCAAGGCCATCATTCAATAAAACGAGAACGGCAGAAAGAACACGGAAGAAGAACTAAACGGTGTAGTACTCTAGGCTCCACGCAGTGGAGATAGAAAGAGATGAACGAAGGAAATTACGTTGATCGAGGCTTCGCATAGTATGGCCGTACAATGTGCCATTCGAATGAAGGAGCGTGGGGGTCGAGACAGTGGTCAATTCTCCGAGGTACCAGACTTGAGGATACGAAGGGGAGGCGATAGAGTGAGTTGACGTGCAGGAGTGAATGGTATCAGAACAGAACGAGAAGCAAGGACGTGTTGCGTAGTAGGAAAGGAAGGGACCAAGTACAATCTTATCAGGCCTCAGTTGCCGTCGGTGCTGCTGCCGCAAATGGGCGGGGCCTATCGAGCA